GGCCTGTGTCTTTAAATGCAAATGAGCTGCTGCTCCCTGCCCCCTTTTCCAGAATAGAGCACGCCATTACAGCTCATATCTGCTAAAAAAACCCATCTGTTTTGGTTCTGATTATCATGTTTATTGCGCTGAAATCATGCGTTTTAAACCATATGAGTTTAAACTTCAGATATATGATTTTCTGAGTGCACACATCCGAAGCACACGGACAGAAAGAGGCTGTCACAGCATGCGAGTACTAAACTAAGTTCTCGTTCACACACAAGTTTACGTTAAAAACGCACATGAGTTACAAAAACAGTCGGTTACGTCTATGAAGGTAAACAGCTGGGAAATAAATCGCATGTTTATTTTAGATCTGTGTGGCAGCAGCAATATACAGTAAATAAATCAATAAATCCACTGCTCTCTTGTCTCCTCTGAGGCTGGGACTCTAAATAGTGTTCTGTGCTCGTCTGTGCAGCCAAAGACAGAACAGTTAGCATGTTTTGCTCAAACTTTCACCATAGCATTAGAACCGGTACACCGTTCTCGCTTGCGAAATCACAATGACGGCTCCGTGGGTGGAAATTTACAGATTAAGGGGCGGTAATATTATAATGAGATCCCTTTACCACGTCACTAGGGGAGCGAAATCAGACGCGCTCGTTTTTTCAGACACTTGCAGAAAAAGGCTTCCCAAAACAAAGTTACTGGGTTATTCTTTTTCACGTTTCTTGGTTGGTAGATGCACTGGGGACCTGATTATAGCACTTAAAACCTGGAAAAGTCAGATTTTCATGATATGTCACCTTTAAGACACTCTTGACATAGACTGAATCTTGATCGTAAAATTAGATTAGTACAAAAGTTTCCAACAACACAAACACTAATTGACAATGGTGAATTTTGTAAACTACCAAATGTAATTTTTTAAAATATCATAAATCAAACAGAAGGAATAATTAAAAACTTCTGTGCATTTATTTATATGCATTCCTTTCACAAAAAAAAAAAAGAAAGAAATACGATGTGTAAAAATAAATTAGGCACAATTTCAACTGAAACCAACAGAGAGAATATTCTATCTGATAGATCTGTTCAACTATCTGATAACTTGCTGCCATGGTCTGCTCATTTGCCCATTTCTTTTCTATTTATTTTCTTTTTTCGTCAACAGTAAATAACATACTCTATTCATTATGTTTTTATGTATCCAAGTATATCTCTGTGTATGTTTGAACGTGTTTACCTATGTGTGTTTGTATATGCACATACAGTGGGTACGGAAAGTATTCAGACCCCCTTCAATTTTTCACTCCTGGAGCTCAGCCACAGTGATCTTTGGGTTCTTCTTTACCTCTCTCACCAAGGCTCTTCTCCCCCGATAGCTCAGTTTGGCCGGACGGCCAGCTCTAGGAAGGGTTCTGGTCGTCCCAAACGTCTTCCATTTAAGGATTATGGAGGCCACTGTGCTCTTAGGAACCTTAAGTGCAGCAGAAATTTTTTTGTAACCTTGGCCAGATCTGTGCCTTGCCACAATTCTGTCTCTGAGCTCTTCAGGCAGTTCCTTTGACCTCATGATTCTCATTTGCTCTGACATGCACTGTGAGCTGTAAGGTCTTATATAGACAGGTGTGTGGCTTTCCTAATCAAGTCCAATCAGTATAATCAAACACAGCTGGACTCAAATGAAGGTGTAGAACCATCTCAAGGATGATCAGAAGAAATGGACAGCACCTGAGTTAAATATATGAGTGTCACAGCAAAAGGGTCTGAATACTTAGGACCATGTGATATTTCAGTTTTTCTTTTTTAATAAATCTGCAAAAATGTCAACAATTCTGTGTTTTTCTGTCAATATGGGGTGCTGTGTGTACATTAATGAGGAAAAAAAATTAACTTAAATGATTTTAGCAAATGGCTGCAATATAACAAAGAGTGAAAAATTGAAGGGGGTCTGAATACTTTCCGTACCCACTGTATGTATCACTTTTTCCTTTTTTTTGTTATATCCTTGATGATATTCTGTACTGCTCTGTAATTCACTTCAATTATTCTAAATAAAAATTATAATCACAAAAAGTGTTCGTATGTTGAATGACAAAGTGGGAGGTTAGAAATACTCACCCATCTCACTACAACACCAGTGTATCCTTACCTTTTGGTATACTGTAATATTTATAGAGCATACTTTGGCCTTTTACATTTCATTCTTTATCATTTGTTGAGGATTCTGCTGCTTGGACGACAATAAGAACTGTCAAATCTCAGGAGGATTTATCAGAACGAAAGGGAACATTGCTCCCGAAGAAAAAACTGAACATGAGATAAGAGATAGATTTGACAAACCTTTATAATTCATCTTTTCAGGTGTTCGATAGCTCTACAAATCCAACAAAGAATGCAAAAACTGTATCTCACATTTTATTTATTAATATTATTTCTGACTTAATGATTGTAATTATCAGCTGAATTATTAAATCATTAAAATATATTTGACTGTAATTAATAATTAAGCAATTATGAAGTGTATAAATTAAGTGCATCAAATATTCCACTAATATGAAATAAAGCTTGATTTTATTTTACATCATGAGAATCATCAAGGGCATATATGACCAGATACAGTATAAAGATTAGACAAATAACTCGATGAAAAACAACATAATGCTCAATATATGGCAGCTGTAGGAAAGTTGTCAGGAGCATCATCTGATCTTTTTGCTCAAGAATGTTGTTTATGCACATTTTCTGGACTAACTTTTAACCTGATGTGTCACTGAAACTTAAGCTTGGAAAACACCTTTGAAGAATTTTGTCTTTCCTCATTCAGGCAGACAGGACCTATACTTGCATGACTAGAAAATAAACCAGCGGTGAAACCAAAATGAGTCTTTCGACTGTGATGCTGTTCAGCCGTTCTGCCACTTGGCAAAAAGAGCATGTCAGGGGGATTTAGATCTATAGAGCCGCTACATTCTATATCCAGTAACAAGTTTTAGATATCAATTACTTTAAAGAGTTACAATTCAGTTTTTATAAACAAACACATGCTTGTTAAGTGGACCTTTGTTTAAATATGTATTGTAGCCGTAGGGAGATATGCGGCTTATCAAGTTTGTGTGCCTCTGCTCATTTCCTTAAAAGTGTTCCTCATCATTCCTTAAAAATGTTGAATGGCAAAGCAGGAGGTTAGAAATACTCGCCCATCTCACTACAATAGCAGTGTTTCCTTGCCTTTGGTGTCAGTATGTACTGTAATATTTTTAAAGGTGACTTTGGCCTTTTACATTTTATTCTTTATTATTAGTTGAGCATCTATAGTAGATGTTTACTTACTACACAGAAGGTGTTATGTATCATGTTTCTTACATTCTTTTCTCTAAATTGATAATAGCTTGATCTTTGACTTGTACAGCTATATATGAGCTAAGTGTTTGTTTGTTATTCAAATGTTATAAGCTGTAAAAAAAAAACTATTGTGTGGTTGTTGTTCTTGCAGAGAACTTGGTAATCTATCAGTTTATCATGCTGCTGCTTCTTCATGTGCTGATGCTGTCGCTTCTCTCTGGTGGTTCAGCCAAAGTTGTGTGAGATTTGGAGAGTGAATGTGGTCAATTTTTTGTAAATGGAAAATCACCTACAAGATTTCCTGAACCACAATACAGGCAGATCTGCCAAACGCGAAATAATGTTGTTTATTATGCCACATTTTATGACACCGACAACAGGATCCCTGTGTACACAGTCTATATTTTTGAAGTCATAATGGGCTGCACAAGACCAAAGGATGAAAATTGTTGGTTCATTGAACCTCAAGTAAGTGAAATATTACCTCATCTAAAATTCTGTTAAACATTTTAAACTCTACATCATTATTTCAGCTAAAAGACTTGAAATAGTATATAGTGACATACCATAACAATGCTGGAGTAGTGCTTAGTGCAGTTCATTCCTTCTGTAAAGTCACATTGACAAGACTTGACAAACTTTAAAAATAAATAAATAAATAAATAAAGACACTACTTAATTTAGAAAAATACACACATAAGCAGTTAATTTGATAAACAGAGTATTACGGTTTTTCTCAATCAATTTGACACATTTCTCCAAACTCAGGTAACTGCTCTCAAAACAGTTTACACAATGATCTGAACATTTTATAATTGGCTTAAACAGATTGTAAGTTTTCATTAATTTCATACAAATTACAAATCATGCAAATAATTTTCTCAAAACACTATGAACAAAACTCTCAAATGTTTTCTTAATAGTTAATACAACCAATCA